TCACACTATATATATCTATGCCGAAACACTCATGATTTTCAGTTTAGTATATTTAAAATGTAAAATAGCATGAGAGAGTCTCCTTGACTTTTTGAAAACGTAAGACTTGCTAAAATGAATTCCATTCCTGATGATGGACGAAAGCTCAATCAGTTTTGCCCCCAAACTATGGTGAATGTCTCATCGACTGCGTCAACCTGAACGTAGTATTAAAGCCAAACCGTTGCAGTAGAACACAATCATCCGTCGTCTTCTGGTTAAGATCGACTTTCAAAAATATTTTTAATGTAATTTCATAAGAAATGAAAGTCTCCAAACAGTGTTATCTTAAAAGATTCATCGAAACCCAATTACTCTTTGTTTCTAAAACTTAGATTTGTCGAATTGTATCTGTTACTAGTAAATTTTTTACGTTCTCATACCAGCATGTTAAATTTCAAATGTTTTAATTAATGTTAAAGTTTACTTCTAGTTTTTATTAATCGACCTTATGACATTTTTTATCGGTTTGTTAACTTTACTTATCATTTCCTATTCCTCTGACTTTGATTTTCCGTATATTCATTAGGCATTGAATGTCATGTTAATCAAACCAGAACACTAAGCCTTAATCTGATAATTACGAAGGAAAAATATTATTGATGACAAGTTTATAAGTGTTGCTTTACTTCCATTTCAGTTTAATTTATTTTATTATACTTATATTCGTTACTATGCTTCCCCATAGCAAACAAGCCCGTTTTGCATCACCATCTCGTAAAATGGTGGTCAAGCTGATGTTATAAAATGTTTACTTTAACCTCGTACACTTATGTGCAATCTTACTCATTTCCAGGCTTTTTCTTCTCGATGCGTCGAGGTTCCAACGGCTGGACGGGAACTGGCCTCCACAGGCGATGACTGGGTCACTGTGAGTGTAAGCCTACCAAAGGGTCACGCTTATCTCATATGGTTTATGTATCCGGATCTTTTTAGCTGGAGTAGCAACGCAGATATGAAGCGCATCTACTTGAAGAAGATTGTTATACACGGCGAAGTCCCAGGCGATGGTTGCTTTCCCTGCCCTTCAGGCACCTACAGTAACAGAAACGGTTCGGCCGCTTGTCAGAAATGTCCTAGGAATACCTTTTCTGTTTCTGGCTCAACCACTTGTACGAACTGCTCTTCCAACGAATATTCTGGCAAGTTAATAAGGCTATTTGCTAGCATGAATATCAAAGTGAAGTAAAAAATTCATTGTCAGGGGGACTTTCATTTCGTATGAAAGTGAATGAAGAAGAGATTCGTTGGTCGATCTCACCAGATGAAGAC